TTTTTTTTTTTTTTTTTTTTTTTTTTTGCCCCCATACTACCTCAAATGCTTGGATCAAAAGAACTGCTTCTAGAGCCGACAAGCTAACCAAAGCATTTGTCACACTGATAATTTTGGCGACCGATCGAGATAATAAAGACAATGTTTTGGCCGTTCATCAAGTATTGCAGCTTGCCTAGCCAGCCTAAATTCTTGAAACTTATCCGTTTGGATCTTTGTGTGAAATCCCATTATGTTATCTATTAATGTCCTAAAGTTGAAGCACCCAACTATACTATTGCCTATATATCCACGTGGATCGTTTGGCATCTACTCTTTTAGAAAATTCTTGTTTAGCTTGGTTCTAATCTTTTTAGATGGCCCCCAGTTTGATTGTGAAAGATTTGATGTTGATATTGAAATGTAAAAATTCCTCAAGGATCCAAAATATGGGACCAATAAGGAGGACAAGTGAGGTGACCCCCTCCTATTGGATAATAAGTTGGCCATCATTAATGATGACCAACTCATCATCCAATAGGAGGGGGACACCTCATTTGTCCCTCCTGTTAATCTCATATTTTGGATCCCTGTAGCAAAGCTCATTGAAATGTTTACAGGCTAAGCAGGGACGAAGCGGTTTTGAAAGAGGAATTACGTTCTGATAACCATCATTATTCACAGAATGCAAACAACACTCGGAAGCCACCGAGTCAGGTTGGGCAGCGCAAAACTTCGAAAGAAACGGGTGGGTGGTTTAAGCCTTTTACCACGCCCCATTTCTTGCTCTTTTCTTAAGGGCCTAACCAGCGGTTAACACATAATCAAACACACCTGAGCACGACGATAACATATATTTATTAAAATTAAAAGTGATAAAATTATATAAAAGTCCTCCTCATTCATTTGGCCCTCTCGGTGATGACGTCGTAACCCATTTCGGTCGGATCAGTGGCCTGCACCTCGTAGTGAACCCCATCAAGGACCCTCCTCAGCCCTTGCTTTGATGTCGCATATAGTATCTTTGCTCTTATCCTTGATTTGGTGGGAGACCTACGAAAAAAAAAAAAAACCCATCATTTGGGTCATTAGTAACAGTAGTAAAATAGAAATATAGTACGCTTTCTTGCCCAACTTTATTAGTGCAAACTTTGACAAGTTGGATGTATGCGAGGACACCTCTGCTGACGCTTGGAATTTTGTGACTTTATTGGTGATAAGATCTGATTAAAGGCTAAAGATCGATCTAGTGTTGGCGGAAGAAAAGAAGATATCAGACGCATCTCTTTTTTCCATAGGTGGGGGCGTTTTGCCTCTTAAAGTCTAATTCAGAACAAAGCAAAGAATACTGCTTGTTAACCTCTGGGGCCGTTATGTAATAAAAAAAAAAGTTACTAATTAAACTAGGCGGCAGGGGCGTTGTGAAAAGATGAGAATTGAAGGTGAGAGCGATGGCTTTGGCCCTCTTGACGATTATTAAGTATTTTCATTTCCTTTTGTCATGAGCACCTAACCTATTAAGTTTTGATCTATATATATATATATAATCAATTGATTAGCCTTCTCAATCTAAAAATCAGAGAACGCATGCATTATTGGAGGAAGACACTCTTATATATGGTTACACCACTAACTTAGGATTAAATCCTTTTGACGAGCTAGGTAAGCGGCCGCTATTGTATTAATTATTCAGCTCAAAGATGGTTTGAGTGTTAACCTGTCCCGTTTGGGAAAGGGTTAAGGAAAAGAGGTTAAAGAAAATGATTAATGTACTTAGCTCATTCGATAATCTGAAGAACTAAATTATTAACCCGTTAAATAAGTTTATTTTAGTCATTGTGATCAGTTTTAGTGTTTGGGAATAACAATGATGAACATCTCCAATAAAGAAGAAAAGGAGGAAATGCGAGTCGCGTGCGGCTTACGCGGCGCGCGAAATTCTGTGCGGCCCGGCCTAACTCGTGCAGACCGTTACTAGTTTCGCGCACTCGCTAAATTCCAAAGTTTGCCACAAAAAAATCCCTCGCCAGCATCCTTATGCTGTCAATGTCAAGGGTCTTCAGGGTGAGTGGGGCGGCGTATCGCCTCACCAACTGATGAAGCATCTATCCTGCTCTTGTGGCCAGTTGCGGTAGGCGTGCACCGAAATCCGCAAATCGAGCACGGCGTACTCTGCAGTCGTCGTCCGGCCAGCGACGCCCGCCAGGTGGTGGTATCCCTCCCCCGGGCCCCCGACCTTGTCGACGATCACGGCCTTCGACCCCTCGTCGATCTTGAACACGATGTAGCGGTGGACCCTCTTCCACTTCATCTCCATGAACCAGCTCTTGCACTCGTCCCTCACCTTCATCCCCTCCGTCGCCTTCCGTCATTAATTAATTGCAAAAAGAAAAAGAAAAAAAAAATAGATGGAGGACGATTAGCTTGCGCACATGAAATGTCATCAGGGGCGATGAGAAGATTAATTGGGGTTAGGATATATAGTTACCATCTTGAACGCCATGGCCATGGTCGCTTGCTTGCTTGCTTGCTTTGGGGAGGGGAGGAAAGTATGGTGGGGGGGTATTTATAGAGATTTATTAGTTGTTGGAATGCCCTTGTTAATTGTTATTCCTATTTATTTATTTATTCAGTTCTTAAACTTTTTTATTAGCACTTGCACCCTTTGAACATTAGACAATCATGTGTAGCGTTACACTGAGGTGAGGGGCGCGCGATTCTCACGTGACATCTCAATCTAACTTGAGAAATAATATTGATTATAGGAGCTTAGGGCGTAAGCGCCAATAAAATAGTTTAGGTGCACAATCATAGTGCAAGGGTGTTATCTGCTGAACTTTTTTTTTTTGTAATGGTGTGTTTAGCGGACCGTAAACTAGTATCAATTTAAGTATGATTACTGTTGGAAGCTTTATTCATGAAAAGGCAATTTTGCCTTTGTGGATAGTCCCACATCAGAAAATGAGATGAATAGTAAAGGGTATATATTGGTTCTCTCCTTATTGGGCTTTGAATAATGTTTTGGGTTTTGTGGGCCTTGCATTTCTACCACACGCGCGCGCACGCCACGCCCGCACGCGCCGCACACGCACACCTTTTTGCTTCTCAAGCCTTCATTTTTGCACGTTTTACACATTTTGTAACGGCTGCATGCGGGTAACGGAAGCAATAACCGTGCGTAACGGTCCCTTGGATTCAGCGGGGGTTACAACTTTCATCACCTATAAAAGGAGGCTTGGAGCTCATTCAGAAACACACCAACGAAGAGTAAATCTTCTAAACTCTCTTCTCTTCTCTACTCTCATACCTCCAAGAAATTTCGGCTACATTTTACTGGGCAACCGTTTTCATCTGAGCATAAGCTCTGTGACTCACGCCCGAGTGCAGAGGCCGGCCGATTCCGGGGGTTTTTACCGCTAGGGGAGAGAGGACAAACTGCGCCAGGGCGATAGGCGGGTCCTTAATCTTCTAGGGCAGTAATATCACGACTGCTCCCAATCAGGCCTGAATTTTCTAACTTTTAAATTTGTTTTAAATTTTTTATATCTCTGTTTTGACAGCAATCTAGAAGATTAAAAATTCTTGCTGTTAAGTTAATTAGTAAAATAAAAAAAATAAAAAAAATTATTACTGTTCATCGGGATTACTGTTCACCCGAATTTTATATATTAATAATTTATTGTTGTATTAGTTAATTGTTTTAATTTGTTGCATCTAAATTAGCTATAAAATAAAAAAATAAAATAAAAAACTTTGTAGCTTCTATACTCAATTTCTGCATCTGTCAATTTTCATAGTAAATAAACAAAAAATCTTTTCTGCATCTGTCAATTTTCATAGTAAATAAACAAAAAATCTTTAAGTGAACCGGTTCAAGTTTTCTTGGATTAGTTGGTGTCTAAGGAAAGGTTTAAGGATTGCGTAAAGCGCTCTGCAAGAAACGAGGTACTTAATAGATCTTTGATCAACCTCTAGTACTATCCTTACCTGGCCAAACTACCCGAGTAAAACTTTTATCTTTTCACTTTAAGAGTTTTTGATTTAAAGCAGGTTTAATTAAGTTTCTGGTCTAAATCCTTTTTTATATCAGATTACATCTACCTAGACTAGTAAACTTAAATTGGACTTATGGCAATTCCTGATCATTCAAAAAGTGTCAAACCTGAGAAGTTCACCGGTGTTAACTATAAACGGTGGGCTAATCAGATGAAATACTGGCTTACTACCTTAGGTCTTTTATCTGCTATTGACACTTCTGAGTCATCTACTAGTGGTTCTCAACCTTTGACTCCTGATCCTGCTCAACCTGCTCCTTCTACTTCTGGTTCTGGTGCTAACTCCTTTTCTAGCTCTATGAAACCAGAAGAAACCAACTATCATTGTTGTCATAGGATTCTTAGTGCACTTGCGGACAACCTTTATGACATATATTATGAGTTCAAAAGTGCAAAAGAACTATGGAATGCTCTTGAAGCAGAATATGGCTATGATGATGCCGGAATTCTGCGTTTCACCTCCTCCTCCTTCAATAAGTTCATGATGGTTGATGACAAGCCCATTAATGAACAAATTCATGAATTTCTAGATTTCTCTGTCATCTCCAATCAAAAGGAAACACTTTTACTGACGATTATAAAGTTTCCTGTTTGATTGATAAACTTCCTCCCTCCTGGTCTAGATTTGCTGGAGATCTCCGACACAAGCAAGGAGATCTAACCTTAACTGAAGCCCTCAAGGCTATTCATATTGAAGACCAGCATAGGCAAAATTCCAATACCAAGAATGAAACAAAAGCTAAAGTAAACTTGGTATAGGATAAGCCTAAATCTAAGAATTTCAAACCCAAAGGGAAGAAATTCAAGAAAAATCAACAATCTTTCAATAAATCTTTCAACAAATCCTCTTTCAAACCAAATCCCAATTCTTCCAGCCATAAGTCTGATGAGAAGTTCTGCAAATCTCAATTCTTCCAGCCATAAGTCTGATGAGAAGTTCTGCTTTGTCTGTGGTAGAACCAACCACATGGCTCACAACTGTTTTTTTCGGAAGAAGGAACCGGCCAAACCTGCCCCTAAAGGAAATGGATCCAACAAAGTTAATATGATTGAAATGAATCCAACCTCCTTCAGGTTAGCCTCTTCATCTCATCTTGTAAATTCTCTAACTTCTTCCACTGATTGGTATTTGGATTCCGGAGCAAATATCCACGTCTGTAATGACCGCTCTTGGTTTTCAAATTATCAGGAATCACGTGGAGGAAGCATAAGCTTAGCAGATGACTCCACTAAATCAATAATAGGAAGTGGACGTATAGAGCTCACCATGACTTCTGGGAAAGTTCTTCATCTGCAAGGCGTTTATCATGTTCCTTCTCTCCGTCGCAATCTGATTAGTGAATCTCTTCTTCTTAGAGCTGGTTATAGGATTGTAAAAGAATCCAATAAATTTGTGATTACAAAGAGTAATGTTTTCATAGGAAAAGGTTTTATCTGTAATGGCCTTTTCAAACTCAATGTAATCAATTCCAGTTCTAATGAAATTTCTGAGTCTTCTGTTATTCAAATTGTTGAGTCTTGTGATGTTTGGCATGGACGACTTGGACATGTCAATTTCCAAACCTTGCAGAGAATGAGTAAATTAAACCTCATTCCTAAATCTTCTCATGATCCCTCATCTAAATGTGAAATCTGTGTTCAAGGGAAACACACTAAAAAACCCTTCAAGTCTATAACTAGAAACTCTGAACCCCTCGAATTAATTCATAGTGATGTGTGTGACTCTAACCGAGTTCTCACCCGAGGGGGTAGGAGATATTTTGTGACTTTTATAGACGATCACTCCAGATATTGTTACACCTATCTTCTCAAAACTAAAGATGAAGTCTTAGATAGGTTTAAGGTGTTCAAAGCTGAATCTGAGAACCAACTTGACAGGAAGATCAAGATTCTAAGATCTGATCGTGGGGGGGAGTATACCTCAAATCATATGACTGAATATTGCCAAGAACACGGTATTATTCATGAGGTTACTGCTCCCTATACACCACAGTCTAACGGGGTAGCTGAACGAAAGAATAGAACCCTAATGGACATGGTGAACTGTATGTTACTCAGTTCAGGAGCACCTGAAAATCTCTGGGGTGAAGCTCTTCTTTCTGCTTGCTTCATTCTCAATAGGATTCCCCAGAAATATTCCGATACAACTCCTTATGAATATTGGAAGGGGAGATCTCCTAATCTAAATTTCTTCCGGGTTTGGGGTTGCTTGGCTAAAGTAGCTATTCCCGAACCTAAGAAGAGAAAAATTGGTTCTAAGACTGTAGATGCTGCTTTTATTGGATATGCACTTGATAGCAATGTTAACAGATTTTTAGTCATCAAATCTGAAATCAGTGACATATCCAACAATACCATCATTGAAGCAAGAGATGCAGTCTACTTTGAAAACATCTTTCCTTTCAAATCTAAAATCTCAGAAAATCCCAGATCATCCATTCCTTCTGATCTTCCATCTTCCAGTTCTTTTCAACCTCTTGATATTGAACCTCGAAGAAGCAAAAGAGGTAGAATCGAAAAGAATTTTGGAGAAGACTTCCTTACCTTTCTTGTTGAAGGTGATCCAAGCTCATTCCAAGAAGCAATGGATTCACCTGAATCTCCTTTCTGGAAAGAAGCCATTGATAATGAAATTAAATCTATCATGGAAAACCATACTTGGATACTCACCGACTTACCTCCAGGTTGTAAACCTATTGGTTGTAAGTGGATATTCAAGAAGAAACTCAGAGCTGATGGTTCCATAGATAAATTTAAAGCTAGATTAGTAGCTAAAGGCTTTACTCAACAAAAGGGCATTGATTATTTTGATACATATTCTCCTGTAGCCCGAATATCAACTATCCGAGTATTACTAGCCTTTGCTGCTATCCATAAGCTTATCATACATCAGATGGATGTCAAGACTGCTTTCCTGAATGGTGATTTAGATGAAGAAATCTATATGCACCAACCTGAAGGCCTCATTGCCAAGGGTCAGGAAAACAAAGTCTGTAAGCTTGTTAAATCTTTGTATGGTCTTAAACAAGCTCCTAAACAATGGCACCAGAAATTTGACAACGTCATTGCACAATATGGCTTCACTGTGAATGAATACGATAAATGTGTCTATTCTAAAGTGATAAACAATGACTATGTCATTCTCTGTCTCTATGTTGATGATATCCTTATCTTTGGAACAACACTTGAATTAATTTCAAAGGTAAAGGATTATCTTTCCAAAAAATTTTGATATGAAAGACTTAGGTCTTGCAGACATGATACTTGGAATGAAAATCTCTAGAGACACTAGAGGAATATCTTTGAGTCTTTCCCATAGCATTGATAAAATGCTAATCAAATTCAACTTTCATAACTCTAAACCTGTTTCCACACCTTATGATTCTTCTATACCTTTGAAGAAGAATGAAGGTGAACCTGTCTCCCAACTAAAATATTCTCAGATGATTGGATCTCTTCTTTACATATCCAACCGAACCAGACCTGATATAGCTTATGCTGTAGGGAGACTGAGTCGGTATACTAGCAACCCTAGCAAAGATCATTGGTCTGCCTTAGAAAGAGTATTCAAATATCTAAAAGGCACAATTGACTATTGCTTGACTTACACTGGTTACCCTGATGCTATAGAAGGGTATAGTGACGCCAATTGGGTCACGGATTCCAACAGTGTAAAGTCTACATCTGGATATGTATTTCTTTTTGGTGGTGCTGCTGTATCCTGGAAATCATGTAAGCAAACAATAATTGCCAGGAGCACCATGGAATCTGAGCTAATTGCTCTTGATACTACTTGCACAGAAGCCGAATGGTTAAAAGATCTTCTATCTGAACTTCCTTTGGTCCCTAAACCCTCTCCTCCTATTTCCATTCACTCTGATTCTAGATCTACCATAGAGCTTCTAAAGCAAGTACATGTAAATAAAAAACATAACAGACATATTCAAATAAGATATAAGTCTGTACAACGCCTATTAGGCAAAGTTGTGATCTTGGACTTTGTAAAGTCTGAGAAAAATCTTGCTGACCCTTTGACTAAGGGATTATCCAGGAGTGTGGTTCTGGATTCATCGAGGGAGATGGGGTTAAGCCCATAAATGAGGTCACTGACAGCGGCAACCCAACCCTTATTTGGAGACGTAGTCCCAATGTCGGTTCAATGTGGTAGAAACAAGCTGGACAAGTGACTCTCGTGTGGAGCATCGACCTAGATATATTTATATATCATTATGTAGCATTTGCTACTACCCCTTCTCTATGGTGACGATGCTCTTATGATACAGCTGGCTAGGCTGAGTTTTACTCTTAATAAGTCCAACGCGTGTATTGTGGGGGGTATTAAATAAACAGCTGTAGTACCCTTTGAGGACTTACCTACGTGAGAGGAACCGTGATGGCCGCGGTTGGGGGGGACAGGGCTGACCCCTAGAAACTCTCATGAGTCGGTTTTTTGTGAGCATGGCCTTTAACGCTCAACCCGCTTTGCTCAATAGATGAAGCGTATTGTGTGTGTTTTCATCAATACCTGATTAAAGGGGCCTAATTCAAGGCCTAGTCCATTATGTCCCTCAGGTGGCGATGAACCCACTAAGGAAAGGTTCAAAGCCGAGAGCTACCTCTCCCGAATTCACGATACGAAAGGTTGCCCAACCTATATTTATTTTGTGATTTATTTATTGATTTATTATTTTCAGTCAATATTGCCTTTTGGGGGGGGACTGTTAGATATTTTGTTAAGAAAAGACAATTTTGCCTTCATGAATAATAATAAATTTTTGTAATTAAAACATGTTTTAATTAGCAATTAAAAATATGTGTAACGGCTATATAATTATGGGGAACGTTACAAAATTTATGACGAACGTTACAGAATTAATTACGGGTTTTGTAACATCTTTTCCAACCCTATATATATCCGTATGTTGAGCTCAAAATGACAAGAAAAAATATACAACAAGTTTTCTCTTGTTTTTCTTCTCTCCCCTACATATTATTTTCATCTACATTTTAGTTTTATTTTATGGGCAACTTCCTTCATCTGAGCTGAAGCTCTGCACTCTCGCCCGAGTGCAGAGGCCGGGCCGTTTCCGGGGGTTTTTACCGCTAGGGGAAGGGAACCATCTGCGCCAGGGCGATAGGCGGGTTCTCAATCTTCTAGGACAGTGAATACACGACTGCTCCCGATCAGGGGTTTTTACCGCTAGGGGAGAGAGGACAAACTGCGCCAGGGCGATAGGCGGGTCCTTAATCTTCTAGGGCAGTGATATCACGACTGCTCCCAATCAGGCCTGAATTTTCTAACTTTTAAATTTGTTTTAAATTTTTTATATCTCTGTTTTGACAGCAATTACTAGTAAGTATAGTAGCACGCGTGGCAGTGATAACTAGACAATTTTTGGGTTAACAAAGAGGCTTTCAAGAATGGGCATGTTTTTTTTTTTTTTTGGCATACATTTACATATT